CAACTGCCAGGATGAAGTAGAGTTGCTGAGAACTTGCTTACTGGAACAGCAATCACACAGGAAGGAACAGTCTTCTTTCCCTCCTCCTGCCTCCCTCTAATGCTTGCTATTGGCAGAGTCTAAGCACCTGGCAAAGGAGAAGCGGTTTGCAGAGTACTCAGCCTATAGAAGCCTGGGTTGTAGCTGAGAGACAAGAGCTTAAATATTGGCATGTGGTCTAAACTCATTTCACGCCAAATAGAGATCATTTAATTTCAGGAAAAAAATCTAATTCTGCTCTGCTTATATTCCAATATCAACTCCCCACTGGTGTACTGCAATTCAGTTCCTACACTAATGACCCAGAATTAGTGCAGTTCCCACAAGTGAAAGGGCACAGTTCACAATAAGACTGTCCACACTTTAGACCAAATGGCTATAAGTGCAGGGTCTTCCCACAAGAAGAAGCTTCCCATGTCAGATTCTATTATTTGCTAGAATGTTTCACAGAACTCAGGAATGTGCTATTTTTACTATGACAGTTTTCTTATAAAGGATACAATTCAGGAACAGTCAGTCAGAAGACATATAGGAGGTCTGAGAGGCTCCCAAAGGCAGAGTTTCCATGCCTTCTCCTCATGGAATCAGCACATTGCCCTCCCAGCACATCAATGTGTTCAACCAGGGAGCTGCAGTGTGTTTCAGTGTCCAGAGTTTTTACTGGGGTCTCATTATGTTAGCATGATTGATTTAATCATTGGGCACATGATTAAACTCAATCTCCACCCCCCTAACCTAGCACAAAGCCCCAACCTTCTAATCACACGGTCTTTCCAGTGACCAGCCTCTATTCTGAGTCATCTGATCATTCAGCATAAACTCAGATGTGATCCAAGGGGCTCATGAAGAAGAAAACACTAAAGAAATTCCAAGGATTTAGATTTTCTCTCCTAGGAACCAGGGACAAAGGCCAAATTATCTATTTTTCAACAGTTTGCAATATGAAAGGAAAATATGTTATTAAAGGCATGTCCAAGTACATTTGACAGAACACAAGTTCCCATTACAAGTTTTAGAAGCATACATAATAGAAAATTAGTGCTAGAAAAGCCCTGAGAAGCCATTTGCCAACATGAATAAACTGGTTCAGAATGTAAGTGAGCTTTGTTCTAAAATTTGCTTTTGTCTGGAGTTTAGAAACCTGTCGTTCTTTTTTTTTTTTTTGAGACGGAGTTTCGCTCTTGTTACACAGGCTG